TTCCTTCCCTCCCAGATCTGAAACTAATCCTCCTCTGAGTGTGTGTCCTCCATATTTGACTTTCTGTGTCGTCTCATTCAAAGATTCAATACAAGGCAGACGTGGGACAAGGCACGTCAGTGTCAGAGACCCCAGAGATGGAGAGAGTTAAACGCAATCAGCAAAACATTAGCACGGTACTCCACAGAGTCACCCTGCAACCTCCTGCTCTACATTCATTTACCTCAGTCAACTCTTCCTCACTCTTCATCTCCCTCAAACACAATGTCATGAGCTGTTACTGTCTGTGTGTCCTCAGTACATACTGTCCTTGTGTCTGTCCCTGTCTGACTCTGTGTCTCTGTAACTTATTTATACGACGGTCAGATTCAGTACAAGGACTCTGTGGGTCAAGGCACGTCCATCCCAGATCTCCCTGAGGTGAAGCGGGTCCGAGAAACCCAGAAGAATATCAGCTTGGTAGAGACAAAGGACTGCAGTGACCCTGATCTGACCCCCTTACAGTCATTTCATAAAATGCCCTCTGACCTCTCCTACTAGTCTGAGACTCTAGAAACCTCTACCTCCTTCATCCTAACTACGTTTCATAGATCACTCCTTTTTACCAGCCTTGGTTAACGATGTGATTTTGAATTCACATTTTCATAAAAACATAATTTCCCTCCATTTTACCCCCTCAGATAAAGGCCTTTTCACACCAGGGAAAAAACGAAATAAAAAAAGAGAATATTCGTTAATGGTTTATTGCGTTCAAACTTTTCACTCAAAGGTAGACAAGAAGATTTGAGTTCTGATTTTTTTGGTCGGTTGTTTTTATCGGCAGAAAATGAAACAGCTGAAGAGAAAAAAAGACACTGCGATATAGGAACAGGTGTGGGCAGGCTGTTAGAGATAGATGGGATTAACTTATGACTGACGTGCGATTTATTCACATGATTTATTGGTGTTTGGTGTGAAAAGACCTTAAAGGAGCATTTCCCTGAATTATTTTTTGTTCCTTCCCTCCCAGATCTGAAACTAATCCTCCTCTGAGTGTGTGTCCTCCATATTTGACTTTCTGTGTCGTCTCATTCAAAGATTCAATACAAGACAGACGTGGGACAAGGCACGTCAGTGTCAGAGACCCCAGAGATGGAGAGAGTTAAACGCAATCAGCAAAACATTAGCACGGTACTCCACAGAGTCACCCTGCAACCTCCTGCTCTACATTCATTTACCTCAGTCAACTCTTCCTCACTCTTCATCTCCCTCAAACACAATGTCATGAGCTGTTACTGTCTGTGTGTCCTCAGTACATACTGTCCTTGTGTCTGTCCCTGTCTGACTCTGTGTCTCTGTAACTTATTTATACGACGGTCAGATTCAGTACAAGGACTCTGTGGGTCAAGGCACGTCCATCCCAGATCTCCCTGAGGTGAAGCGGGTCCGAGAAACCCAGAAGAATATCAGCTTGGTAGAGACAAAGGACTGCAGTGACCCTGATCTGACCCCCTTACAGTCATTTCATAAAATGCCCTCTGACCTCTCCTACTAGTCTGAGACTCTAGAAACCTCTACCTCCTTCATCCTAACTACGTTTCATAGATCACTCCTTTTTACCAGCCTTGGTTAACGATGTGATTTTGAATTCACATTTTCATAAAAACATAATTTCCCTCCATTTTACCCCCTCAGATAAAGGCCTTTTCACACCAGGGAAAAAACGAAATAAAAAAAGAGAATATTCGTTAATGGTTTATTGCGTTCAAACTTTTCACTCAAAGGTAGACAAGAAGATTTGAGTTCTGATTTTTTTGGTCGGTTGTTTTTATCGGCAGAAAATGAAACAGCTGAAGAGAAAAAAAGACACTGCGATATAGGAACAGGTGTGGGCAGGCTGTTAGAGATAGATGGGATTAACTTATGACTGACGTGCGATTTATTCACATGATTTATTGGTGTTTGGTGTGAAAAGACCTTAAAGGAGCATTTCCCTGAATTATTTTTTGTTCCTTCCCTCCCAGATCTGAAACTAATCCTCCTCTGAGTGTGTGTCCTCCATATTTGACTTTCTGTGTCGTCTCATTCAAAGATTCAATACAAGACAGACGTGGGACAAGGCACGTCAGTGTCAGAGACCCCAGAGATGGAGAGAGTTAAACGCAATCAGCAAAACATTAGCACGGTACTCCACAGAGTCACCCTGTCCCCTTCACCCCGCTCATCTCCCTCAAACATAACAGCTCTCCTGATCCTGTCACAGCTGATACTGATCACATCAAACCCACTGTGCAGAGTTAACAGGGTCATCTAAACCCCACCAGCCTCCGTCACAATCTGCTTCTCCATCTCTCAGGATAAAACACAGTGTGTGTGTTTGACTCCATGTTTCATGTCTGCTGTGAGTTCTGGTGCAGTGTTGTGTCTCTGTCCTCCTGCAGCTGTCTCTGACTGACCTCTTTATTTCTCCTCCCCCTCAAACTGGCTGTGGGGCAGATAAAGTACAAGGACTCTCTGGGTCGAGCTACGGCTATCCCGGACCTGCCGGAGGTGAAGCGGGTCAGACAAACCCAGAAGCACATCAGCTCGGTAGCGGATCCAAACCGAACCACGTGTGCTCCCTAACTGTTGAGAGTGGACAGTAGTGCCCATCAATAATACCCATCATGCCCGTGTGCTCCCCCCCCCACCCCCCCTCCCTCCTGCTGTCATCTCACACCCTCATCACCTCTCCCTCATCTTCATCTTCATCTTCATCCAAGGCACAGACTTCAGTTTCCTGAGCTCCAGCTCGCCGTCATTTCTTTTTTTCTTTCCTCCATCTTTAATCTCCAACCATCCGCCCCTCAAGCTGAGTGACAGCCTCCTCTCTGGTTTTCTAACCCACAGCTCAGCTTCTTCACACCAAGCTGCTGAATTAATTTTCACTCAACAGCTAACGACAAACTAAACGTCCTGCTGCAACGTAGGAGTGTGTTTGTTTCCTCCACAGTGATCCTGGCTGTTTCCAGCGGAGCTGCCAGGATGAGTCACTCTATAGGACCAATTTCTCAGACGCTGTTTCCAAAATGTCTCAAACAGTTCCTTATCTGAGATTATTCAAAGTCCCCCTCCACGTCACATATGTCTTTCTCATGTTCATGTCTGACCCTGATCCTGACTCTACTGACCTGTGTCTCTGCAGAGTTTGTCTAAAGAAAGGTGTTTTCACATCCCTCCGCCCTAAAATCTGAGATTTAAATATTTGCTGGGACAGACAGATCAGTACGTCACTGATGAGAAAACTGTGCACTCAGTCTGTTTACAGTCACAGTGAAGTGGAGCTACAGTCCCAGCTGGACGAGGACATTTAATTGGACTTCTGTTCTTGTCCCAGTATACAAGCACAGGAGGGGAAACATGAAATACACATCAACAGGGGAACAGACTTCAACACAACACCTGAAACCTGCAGTGCAGAGCAGACTTGTCAGCACAGAGAGCAGAGTTAGCATTAGCATAGTGAAAGTACTTAGAGCACACATGGTATAATGTGCAGTTTTTAGGATGCAGACAGGACCCAGAGCTTTCCTCAGTTATCTACAAAAAACTCTATCAGAGCAGATATTACAGTAATGTGTGTTTCACAACCACTAACCCAGAGTCAGACTCAGCCAGTTAGCCTACAAGCTAACGGGTCCATGTCATTGGTTCGACATCCCATTAGTCCGACTGTCTGCAGTGCTGAACGGCTCGCGGCGGGCGTATGGTGTGCCGCGACCGGCTTGAGGCGGAGCAGACTCACGGCTTATGTGTTTTCACTTTCTTTTTCATTTTAACCCACACCATGATCTTTTCCTGACCCTAACCAAGTGGTTTTTGTGCCTAAACCTAACCAGACCTTAACCACAGGGCATCATGATGATTTCGGAACAATGGGTTTAATATGGTAGGAACAATGGGCTGTCGAACCAATGGGCAGTTCCCCAAGCTAACAGACAACGTAAACAAGAGAAAGAAGCTAACTACCATAACCATTTTGATTCATCTGCTAGTCGCCGATGTCTGACTCATAGTCTGTATAAAATAATGGCTGCAATGTCCTCGTGACGCTGTGCGATCGCTGGAGAAAGTGGAACGTGAAAGGTAGTGCAAGCAGCTGTGGTTGGTGAGATGGAAGTTAGATCCAGAATTACTCAGTGAGGCCCCGTTGTTTCCGTTTTCCTGTGTGAAGACCGTGTTATAGACTAAAGGTTCATCCCAGCAGTGTCTCTTAAAGTGTGTGTGGAGGGGGACTTTAATCTGTGAACCATCCTGAACTCTGCTCTGTCTGTATCTGCTGTCTCTGAGTCTGAGGTTAATGTGAGTCTATGAAAGCAGTCCTATAGGTGTGTGGTCTGTGTGTGCTTCAGTGTCTGACTGGCCCCTCTGGGGCCCCTGTGCTTCTGTCCTGTAGGTGTGGTATAAAGACAGTTCAGCCAAAGGAACTCCTGTGGTCTTTACCCCAGAGATGGAGCGAGTCAAAAGGAACCAAGAGAACATTAGCTCGGTACCTTCAGACCTCCAACAAGAACATATTCTACTGAAGAAAATGTTCTCCGTCTGCCCTGGTTAACCCCTTCCTAACCGACCTGTCTCCTGGCTCTATAGTTAATGATATTAATTCTCCCGTCACGCTCTTTTTTGAATGTTTAATCCCACCAGCTGTGGTGTGTCTGTGCACATCATCACTGCTAACCTCTCCTCCACATCATCCTGTGCCCCTCCCACTGAAGACTGGGATGTATTTTTGTTTCTAATTCATCCGTCTGAATCCCAGTACTGTAACCCCTCCCAGCAGCTGTGTGTGTCGTCCCTCCACTCAGCCTCTGTGCCACGCCCTTTGTGCTGTGGATGCTAACGGCTACTGTCTGATGTCCTCAGATCAGAGACGTTTCAGCCGCTCACTGTGTGTCCTCTGCTCCTCCGCCAGGTGCTGTACTCTGACAGCTTCCGTAAGCAGGTCCAGGGCAAGGCCGCCTTCGTCCTGGACACGCCTGAGATGAGACGCGTCAGAGAGACTCAGCGCATCATCTCTGGAGTAAGACTTTATGGATGTTTGTGCACGTGAAGTTTGATCTCTACTGCAGAGTGTTTACTTCTCTGCTTCTTCTCTACTTAAATGATGAAGCTGGTGTTAGTCTGTATTCTTTCTTGTAAACAAATCCCATGAAGACAGATAGAAGCCAACAGTGTGTCAGTCTGTCTCTGAACGGCTTCATATCCCTGCCCTCTCAGTCGATCTCAGCCCCAACACACTTCCTCCAGCTGAAAACTTAAATCTTTTAAAATCAGGTCTCATTAACAGACTTTTATTTTGGATAAAGTCTCAGTAATTTATTCAGACAGCTGGAAACTGATTTTAGAACATGTCACTCAGTCAGGAGTAAACTGTGCATTTGTTGAGGACTATTTTCAGCAGCGGATTAAAACACATTTGGTGCTCTAGTGAAGCTTTTCTGAACCAGTGGACCTCGGAGCGCCATCAAGTGGGCGTGGCCAGATATTTAGATCTTTAGGTCCTTTTTGTCCTTTTCATTAAAGAGTAAGATCCTTTTTGTTGAACCAGAAACAGGCCTGACAGTGCCGTCACCAAACCCACCAGACTCCATTTAAATAATCAGTAATTTAGCGAGTACAGGCACAGCATGATGTCACATCCAACTGAATGAATTAAGGGTTAATTTCAGCCAAACCAGAGGTGCTGATTGTTTGAACAGTCAAAACTTGGACAGGGACAGTTTTTGTGAGTTTTATTTTTGTTTCTGTCGACTGTGAATAAAGTGTGTTTTATGATGATAAAGTTATCTTTTATTTAGATGGAGTCTGGTGTGTTTGGCGATGGCAGTTTCATGTCTGTTTTTCGAGGCTGTTTCTGGTTAAACAAAAAGGATTTTAGTCTTTAACATGAAGGTCTTTTTCTGCAGGGATCCTTTCTATGAGGCTGTCAGACACTCTGAATATCAATGTGAGCCTGTCAGTGAAAAAACACTTTCAGTGGACATAAATTGATGTTGCTCAGTTGCCTGCAGGGAAAACGCAGCCTGTTTCGTCGCTGCTGGCTGTGGCACTACTTCAATACTAGACAGGTTCAAAGATTGCTCCCATTAGTCTCTTAGAGACAAAAACATGGAAAAAATAGGGTCCATGTTGAAAAATACTCAAGTTACACTTTAAGCCCCAAAAGACTGAAACCCCCTGATGTACTGAGTGTTTCCTGTGGGCAGTGGACAGTGTGTGTGTGTGTGTGTGTGTGTGTGTGTGTTTCCACTCAGTGTGGTTGTGACCTGTGCTCCTCAGGTGAGATACCACGAGGACTTTGAGAAGAGCAAAGGCAGCTTCACTCCCACCACCACCGACCTGGTGACCGAGCGTGTGAAGAAGAACACTCAGGACTTCAGTGACATCAGCTACCGTGGCATCCAGAGACGCGTGGTGGAGATGGAGAGGAGACGTGCCATCGAGCACGACCAGGAGACCATCACTGGTACAGTTAGACACATGCACACATGGAAACACGTGAAGTTGTTGGAGACACTGGCTCAACTTTAATGTGATCAGCCCTCAGAGCTCAGCATACCTTTTTTTGTAATGACTGATGATCTTTAAAAGCCCCGGAGGTCGTGTTTTAGTCACTGCTGAACTGATCCTGTTTGTGACTGTGTGTCCTCAGATCTGCGTGTGTGGCGCACAAACCCTGGCTCTGTGTTTGACTACGACCCTGCTGAGGACAACATCCAGTCCAGGAGTCTGCACATGATGTCAGGTGAGATCAGACACCCCCAAAAAACTATGACATCACAGGTCAGCAGAAGAAGGGAGCATTTTAGTTATATTTAGTGTGAAAATATATTATTTAGTCCAAATATCATGAATGTTTCCCAAAATATTCAGAGATACTGCATCCTGTGTGCTGAGGTTTCTAAGTTACTGTGTAATAGTCCAAATATGGGTAACAGTTTAACTCCATTGTGGGGGGGGGGGGGGGGGGCACTTTCAGCTGCTCTGATGTTACATGTGATCATAAAGAGCTGTCTCCATCTGACCTTTGACACTCTTCTGACAGTTCAAGCTCAGCGTCGCAGCAAGGAGCACTCCCGCTCCACCAGCGCCCTGAGCGGCATGGCTGACGAGAAGTCTGAGGTGTCCCAGGACGCCGACCATCACATGTCTCTCTACAGCAATGGCTTCATGGCGTCCTCTGTTGGTAAGTGATCCACCGTCACCTCAACAAACACTGTACATGTGTGTGATGTGTGTATGTTTTACCAGACACCAGGTCAGGTTTGTGTGGCTCACTGATCTGTGTGTTCTGTGAACATCTGCAGGTTACCAGCACGCTAAGACTGTGGAGGTGCAGCAGAGGTCTTCATCAGTGGCCACCCAGCAGACCACCGTCTCCTCCGTCCCCTCACACCCCTCCACCACTGGGGTTAGTAACACACTCCTCCACACACACTGCAGTCTGGAAAACTCCTGAACATCTGGTTCTTACTGACCTCCTGTGGTTTAACCTCACCCTGCTGCAGTGACGCACAGATGACATCACTGCTGGGTGTCTTCACACCTCTGACACACACACACACACACACACACACACACACCTCCATCAGTGCTGTTGGGTGTGGTTAGAGGTGGAACCAGAGGGACCACTCGAACTCTGGGTTTGAATTTTCATCATCACTGTTGAGAGTGATTCTTAAATTCTCCAGTGGTAAAAGTATACAGCCCTCACACTGAATAAAATCATGTGTTAACATTTAGTAAACTAAAACGTGTTGCATCAGTCTGCAGCCTGGAGCCTTCTCCAGACCTCAGCAGCAGTGCTTGATCTTAATTCTCCATAGCTAAGCTAGCTGTTTAGACCTGTTGGCTGATTTAGACTCCACACGCTGTTTGTTTTTCGTTTGGTAACAAATGTCTCTTTGATAGTAAAGGTTGCTGACCTCTGACCTCTTAGTACACCCAGCTCATTAAGTCCCACCACACCCCTGAGCAGGACAGAGACAAGAACATTATGAACCCTTTAAAACACTAAAGTCACGCAGTAACACAAACTGACTGACTAACTGATGGAGGCAGCAGCTCTGTCTGTTTCTGCTCATGATGGCGGTGCATTGGAGTCAAGTCAGTTCCTGCAGACATCCATTAACTTAACAACATGAATAAAGCCAATGTGAGTTCAAAGTTCATCTGTAGCAGCTCATTAATGCACATCTGTTGCTTGGACTCGTCAGTAGGATCAATTCATCGCTTGTTTTGGTCTCTTTATTGACAACAAGAATGTGACATCACCAACTCTACCCTTTGCACTCTGGCAGTGACATCATGACTCTGACTGACGTCTTTTCCTTCCTCTCTGCAGAAAACTGTTCGTGCCATGTACGACTACACTGCAGCCGACAACGACGAGGTGTCCTTTAAAGACGGAGACGTGATCGTTAACGTGCAGTCCATCGACGAGGGCTGGATGTACGGCACCGTGCAGCGCACCGGCAAGACCGGCATGCTGCCAGCCAACTACGTAGAAGCAATCTAAAGACAAAGCCCGCCCACCGTCCCTCCAGAGTGGGCGTGACACATCCACAGGGCAATCTGATTGGTCTTCCTGTGAACACAACCGCGGCTTAGTGCAATGATTTAGTGTCTCTTAGCTCTGTATTTTAATGGTGTTGTGATTCTCGTCTGTTCTCATTCATACACTGCTGCCCTGTTTCCTGTGGATGTGACATCAACATGGTGACATCACTCATATAAATATCTCTATTATACATACTATGACTACGCTGAATGACAGACTCTGTAACCTGTTCTGAGACACTCCCTTAGACTCACTAACAACCCAACGCCCTTTGTATATTTCAATAATATTTAATATATATAGAAGAGTATTAGAAACCTTCAGCCAGACGATGGGCTCACATAGTTTGAATTCTGTGGAGAGAAAAAGAAATGACGACGATAGTGAAACCTGTAAGGAGTCAGTTAGCGTCTGTCTCCTCCATGATGAAACCGCTCCTAACGAGTTGTACGAGACCAGACCTCAGTCTTCCCTCCTTCACACTGAAGGCTGGTCACTAGTAGAGTGTGTGTTTTGTTTCTTCTGATTATTTAGGTCCTCTACCTTTAATCTGTAGCCAATAAAGCACACCAAGCTCCTGCAGCACTCTGTCTCCTCCTCTTCATTCTCTACTCTGATCCTGGGCTCCTTATTCACACTCCTTATTCACACTAAGCTCCTGCAGCACTCTGTCTCTGTCTTTCCCTCTCTACTTTGAGCTCCTCGTTTCACACTCCTTATTCACACTGTGTCTCTCAGCAGCTGCTCACTGGGTCCTGTAACATTGAGGGTGTGTTCACAGCTGCTGTCGCAGGTGTTTGGTTCGGTTCAGTGTAACTCAGATTAGTTTGTGCAGGTGTGAACACAACAAAACAACCGCACTTCCTTCTTCGTTCTGTCCTCTGTCTCTCACCTCTCCTCTGGGTCTCTGGTGTCCTCTGTGAATCCACTACATAAATACAGACTGTGGAAGAGACACGTGAGAGACGTGTCAGCGTAGCCAATCAGGGGAAGATCAGAAAAGCCAATAGCGAAGCAGCAAGCAGAGTAAAGATGGAACGAGAAATGAATTTGTACTCACAAGATAAAAAACCTTAGAGGCTCCGTATATTCCAAATGAAAGTGAGGGAAAAATAACGACTGCTCCCAAACGACCAGCTCAGAGGACGTGATGTCAGACAGGATGGTGAGGTGAAAACAAAATGGCTGCTGTCAGATTATCAACAAGAAGAGGAGGAAGACGTGAGGTCTTTACACAGTGTCTTTATTTAAAGCACGTTTCCAGCAGTGTCGTCTTTTTCTGTAACTGAAGATTATTTTTTCAGTAAATTGAAAAACATTAAAAAATAGATTTTTATTCTGAGGTGCGTGCACATGAAAACATTTCATATTAAAGAAACAGAAGTTATAAAATCAATAAAAAAGAAGATGCTAGATTTGTCTTAATGCTGCAGCGTTCTCTGCGAGGGTCGTCGGTACGACTCTGATAAGGCAGCGATCATGAAGGCTTCGTACGTTAGTTAGAATTCATGGGTTCATTAGTGCTGCGTCATTTATGACAGGTTTATGGATCAGTTAGAGGCCAAGGTTAACAGGAACTGATTTGGGGTTGTGAAAATCTCCTTTGTGTAACCCTCTCCAACAGCCTGTGTGACCTCTGACCTCCTCATCTGAATGAATATATGAACAACTTCACATTTACAGTTCCACTTGTTGGATAGTTGAAAAACCTTAATATTAACTTATTCTTAATGACTTTAGTTTTTATTTAAGGTAAGACACTGATGTTAAATGACTTCATTACAACAGACTCATATTTCACCTTCTGTTATTATCAGTGAGTCATCACAGCCTGGCAGCTTCATCACATCACTGGCTCAGAAATGATCTATACTGTGTTAGTAAATGACTTATCAACATCTAAAGGGACAGTTTGGATCTTCTGAGGAGGGGCTGTGTGACGCTCTTACCCACAGTCAGTGATTGACCCACAGTACACGTCAGTCAGCACATGTCCAGTTTGGAGAAACAGGCAAGAGAATCCACATGGAAGCTAAACAGTGTCCTGCTGTTGTCAGGGGCAACAGCAAAACGTATTTTAGCCACCTTAAAAAAATATTAGTTTATCGTGCGCTGTGTTTATAATATTTACACTGCTTTACCTCGCTGTCAGACAGCCCACTGAATCTGAACTTCTATATGCTCTCTTTAAAGCCAGACTCCATTTAGATAAACAGTGATTTAAGATCAGTGAACTCAGGAGCTGCTGGTCTGTTGCTGCCTCCATCAGTCTGTGTGTTTGTATCACTGTGTGATTCTGGTGTTTAAAGGGTTAATTCAGATTCATCAAAGTCACACAGTGACACAAACACACAGACTGATGGAGGCAGCAGTCGACCAGCAGCTCCTGAGTTCACTGATCTTAAATCACTGTTTATCTAAATGGAGTCTGGCTGTGAAGAGAGCAGCTTCTCATCAGAGAGACCTGTCTCTCCCCATCAGAGAGACCTGTCTCCCCATCAGAGAGACCTGTCTCTCCCCATCAGAGAGACCTGTCTCTCCCCATCAGAGAGACCTGTCTCCCCATCAGAGAGACCTGTCTCAGGGCACCCAGTCACCAGTCTTGTCCTCAGTGGTCATGGGTTTAGATGGCTGTGTCCCATGTGTCACGTGTGAGGGCGCCCTCACTGTCACACCCTCAGCGTCTCATCAGCCTCATCAGGAAGTGATAGTTTAGTGGATCAGCTGATGTCTTGTTCGATGTCTGATTCTTTATCGACTCTGATTGATCTGAACTCAGTCTGCTGATTAAACAGTTTCCAGCAGCGAAGGCGTTTTGAGGTTTTTGGTTTGTAATGCACAATTTTCTTAAAGACACAGCGGCATTTAACCATTGATTAAAGCGATGAGCTTAAAGCTTAAAGGCAAACGAGTCCGACTCGCTATCGATTCTCACCTGGAGCCAACCCCCCCCCCGCCTCCCTGATTTTTATTACAGAACTGTTTTAGTGTGAACATTTAACCTCCATTGTTTCAGACGACCTTCAGAGATTCACTCACCAAACTGAAACTCTACCCGACAGGTGTTCGTCTCAGACGCTGACTGATGATGGGTCAGTAGCTCGTACAGCCCCGCCTCCAAACTGTCCCCTTAATAAAGTCGTTAGTAATAAGTTATAATAACACTTTGTAAAAGGTTCCTTGTGAGAAAGAGGACAGATTATTTGTCCACATCAGTCCGACTGCAGGTGTCGTCATGGTGACGTCAGAAGGCAATATTTAGACTTTCCTGTGATGTCACTGGGTGACAGCGGCGCGTCGACTGTCATGTGACATCTGTTTTTTTTTTTTTGGCTCTAAATGTTTTGGAAAAAGAAACTCTTCTGTCACCGGTTCAGGTTGAAGCAGATCAGGATGTCTTCTCAGTGTGGGGTCAGAGGTCAGGTCAGACGTCCTGTCAGTGTGGGGTCAGAGGTCAGGTCAGGATGTCTTCTCAGTGTGGGGTCAGAGGTCAGGTCAGACGTCCTGTCAGTGTGGGGTCAGAGGTCAGGTCAGACGTCCTGTCAGTGTGGGGTCAGAGGTCAGGTCAGATGTCCTGTCAGTGTGGGGTCAGAGGTCAGGTCAGACGTCCTCTCAGTGTGGGGTCAGAGGTCAGGTCAGGATGTCTTCTCAGTGTGGGGTCAGAGGTCAGGTCAGGCGTCCTCTCAGTGTGGGGTCAGAGGTCAGGTCAGACGTCCTCTCAGTGTGGGGTCAGAGGTCAGGTCAGGATGTCTTCTCAGTGTGGGGTCAGAGGTCAGGTCAGACGTCCTCTCAGTGTGGGGTCAGAGGTCAGGTCAGACGTCCTGTCAGTGTGGGGTCAGAGGTCAGGTCAGGATGTCTTCTCAGTGTGGGGTCAGAGGTCAGGTCAGACGTCCTCTCAGTGTGGGGTCAGAGGTCAGGTCAGGATGTCTTCTCAGTGTGGGGTCAGAGGTCAGGTCAGACGTCCTGTCAGTGTGGGGTCAGAGGTCAGGTCAGACGTCCTCTCAGTGTGGGGTCAGAGGTCAGGTCAGGATGTCTTCTCAGTGTGGGGTCAGAGGTCAGGTCAGACGTCCTCTCAGTGTGGGGTCAGAGGTCAGGTCAGACGTCCTCTCAGTGTGGGGTCAGAGGTCAGGTCAGACGTCCTGTCAGTGTGGGGTCAGATGTCAGGTCAGGATGTCTTCTCAGTGTGGGGTCAGAGGTCAGGTCAGACGTCCTGTCAGTGTGGGGTCAGAGGTCAGGTCAGGATGTCTTCTCAGTGTGGGGTCAGAGGTCAGGTCAGACGTCCTGTCAGTGTGGGGTCAGAGGTCAGGTCAGACGTCCTCTCAGTGTGGGGTCAGAGGTCAGGTCAGGATGTCTTCTCAGTGTGGGGTCAGAGGTCAGGTCAGACGTCCTCTCAGTGTGGGGTCAGAGGTCAGGTCAGACGTCCTCTCAGTGTGGGGTCAGAGGTCAGGTCAGACGTCCTGTCAGTGTGGGGTCAGATGTCAGGTCAGGATGTCTTCTCAGTGTGGGGTCAGAGGTCAGGTCAGACGTCCTGTCAGTGTGGGGTCAGAGGTCAGGTCAGGATGTCTTCTCAGTGTGGGGTCAGAGGTCAGGTCAGACGTCCTGTCAGTGTGGGGTCAGAGGTCAGGTCAGGATGTCTTCTCAGTGTGGGGTCAGAGGTCAGGTCAGACGTCCTCTCAGTGTGGGGTCAGAGGTCAGGTCAGACGTCCTCTCAGTGTGGGGTCAGAGGTCAGGTCAGACGTCCTGTCAGTGTGGGGTCAGAGGTCAGGTCAGGATGTCTTCTCAGTGTGGGGTCAGAGGTCAGGTCAGACGTCCTGTCAGTGTGGGGTCAGAGGTCAGGTCAGGATGTCTTCTCAGTGTGGGGTCAGAGGTCAGGTCAGACGTCCTGTCAGTGTGGGGTCAGAGGTCAGGTCAGGATGTCTTCTCAGTGTGGGGTCAGAGGTCAGGTCAGACGTCCTGTCAGTGTGGGGTCAGAGGTCAGGTCAGGATGTCTTCTCAGTGTGGGGTCAGAGGTCAGGTCAGACGTCCTGTCAGTGTGGGGTCAGAGGTCAGGTCAGGATGTCTTCTCAGTGTGGGGTCAGAGGTCAGGTCAGACGTCCTCTCAGTGTGGGGTCAGAGGTCAGGTCAGGATGTCTTCTCAGTGTGGGGTCAGAGGTCAGGTCAGACGTCCTGTCAGTGTGGGGTCAGAGGTCAGGTCAGACGTCCTGTCAGTGTGGGGTCAGAGGTCAGGTCCTGTTGCGCTATGCGATACTGATACTGTAGTTTTCTTCATTAGAAATCGAACGTGTGTGTGTGGCGGCTCAGAGTCGGTGTGTCAGTCAGCTGCTCCCCTGCTGCAGCGTGAGAAGCCCCGCCCTCTGATGATACTGCTTCTCCTTGGCCTCTGAGATTTTGGCGGTCAGATCCAGCGGCTTCTCGAAGAAGTTGACCAGCGCCTGTTCGGTGAGCAGTGACGCCAGGATCTGGGCGTAGCTGATCGTCCAGTCACTCTCTGCCGGTGAGCTCCCGTCTCCTCCACTGGCATTCACTCCAGTGTCTTCAGCGGTCACCTCCCCCTGGCTGCTGACCTCTGACCCCGAGCTGTTTCCACGGTGACCAGCCTCGCCGATCTGCAGCACCAGACTGGTAACCGTAGCGATGGCCTGGAAGAGGTCGTTCTCCTCCGGGTCGCCGTGGAACATGCTGTAGAGCGTTTTACAGAACTGGATGAACTCACGCTGCGGAGGAGGAGACGGAGGAGGTTTGATCACATGATCACATGATGTCATCAACTTTTTATCATCACAACTTATTCATCATTTCCTCATCAAACCAACAGATCTGTGTCGAGACCTTTAACAAACACTGATCGATGCATCTTTAAATATTAAGAGTCAGCGTTCAAGCTGAGATCTTTTCTGATCTGATATTAATTATGTCCTATCTTTCAGTTTGGGACAGCGTGTCGGAGGAGACATCTTTAAATTACTCCTTTTGTTTGACCCTTTGTAGCTTCACATTATTAAACATTCACTGATAATAACAGTAATTGTTAGATCAGATGTTTAATTGTCCTGTTGACCCTGAACACATGACGCCACTTCAGACATGTCGGTCTGATGAGTGCGGGGGTTACGTTAAAGTCACTGATGTGTAAATCACTCCAGCAGGTTTCAGATGAACTCTGAACTCTGTCCATCTGATGACATCATTTTTCTTTTCCTTTCTGACACCACCAGGAGGCGCTAATGTCAGAATGATTCTGTATACAGTGTCATTAAAGGACAAGTCATTACAATCCATGTCTTCCTTAAAGCTGTACCTGTAGAGCAGCTCCTGTCTCTTACACTCTCAACGTAACCCCGCCCCCATCACCCCTCTACACACAAACCCAACCACACCTTCCCTCAGCATGTGTAGCAGACACGACCCCACACACCTTCTGCATCTGTGCACAAATGTGGCCCCAGAGAGGCCCGTTATTGTTTAATAAAGGCCTCTCTATGAATGTTCCACAGGTTTTAAACCCTGTCTGCATTTTGTTTCAATCAAAGTCTTACTGACGTCTCACATGTAACTTTGCAGCTAAACATTGAACCCACTTCATGGAAAATACTATATATATATATATATATATATAAATACACATACTGTGTAGGTCAACCTATAAACACATGCTGTCTGGTATGTGTCACCTGGTCCCACCTGGTTCATGAGCGGCAGAGGTTTCTCCACATCTTTCTCCCTCTCTTTGACCAGATCCTGCAGCATCTGCTTCAGCTGCTCCTGATAGTCCTTCACTTCACTCTCCACACCTGTCACTGACACACACACACACACACACACACACACACAGATTAATTATCACACACACACACACACACACAGAGCTCGTGTTCTGATGTTTCCTGTAGTTACAGTGATCAGCTGATACATGTCAGTGTGTTGGGACTGACCGGACGGCAGATTGACATAGAGGGGTCTGTTTGTGGACAGCAGGGGGCTCTTCATCAGAGAGGGGTCATCCTCACTTTCTGTCAGAGCTGCACACACACACACACACACACACACACACACACACACACACAGAGTCAGGCTAGTTTGAGCCCTGCAGCTTCACACTCTGTGACCTCCGTCATGTTATATCAGAGTAATGAACCTGGAGGGATGTGCAGACGGTACAGCAGCCGGATCTTCTCATTCAGCTCTTCACAGTATAACGTGTCTGAGACAGAGAGAGGACACAAAGGGTTAAAACATAAGACAGACACATCTGTATGGACAGACACATCTGTATGGACAGACACATCTGTATGGACAGACACATCTGTATGGACAGACACATCTGTATCATTACTCATATCACACTGTTTATGATACATGTGTACCTGGATCCATCCATCCATCATCCACCCATCCATCCACCCATCCATCATCCATCCATCCACCCATCCATCCATCCATCATCCATCCATCCATCCACCCATCCATCATCCATCCATCCACCCATCCATCCATCCATCATCCATCCACCCATCCATCCACCCATCCATCATCCATCCATCCACCCATCCATCCATCCATCATCCATCCATCCATCCATCCATCCATCATCCATCCATCCATCCACCCATCCATCCACCCATCCATCATCCATCCATCCACCCATCCATCCATCCATCATCCATCCATCCATCCATCCATCCATCATCCATCCATCCATCCACCCATCCATCCACCCATCCATCATCCATCCATCCACCCATCCATCCATCCATCATCCATCCATCCATCCATCCATCCATCCATCCATCCACCCACCCATCCACCCATCCATCCATCCACCTGGACTCTGTTCTTCCACCTTCTTGTGTCTAAGTGACTGGTTGCAATGTCACACCATCGATTTACATCCACTCAGAGTGTTTTCATCACTGACAGGCTCAGATTGTTACTGTAAGTGTTTGATGACATGATGAAAGGATCCCTACAGAGATAGAGCTTTATGTTAATGAGTGAAATCTTTCAGTTTAACCAGAAACAGTCCTGACATCACCGTCACCAAACCCACCAGAGTCCATTTAAATAAACAGTCATTTCAACATCATTAAACTCACGTCATTCACAGTTGACAGATAAAACCCACAGACGCTGACATGGTTCATCTTTCCACTGTTCAACAATCTCCAGCTCTGGTTTGGTTTAAATTAACCCTTAAATCACCAGTTAGATGTGCCAACATGCTGCCTCTGTACACACTAACATGACTGGTTATTTAAATGGAGTCTGGTGGGTTTGGTGACGGTGATGTCAGGACTGTTTCTCTGTAGGGATCCTTCCCATAATGTTGTCAGACACTTAGAATACCAATCTGAGCCTGTCAGTGACAAAACACTTTGACTGGACGCACACTGACGGTGCACAGTTGTCCCGTGTGTTAACATTACAGCCAGTGTTGCAGCTGCTGATGCAGCGCTCTCGTTCAATACTGGACCAGTTTCACAAGTGGTTGTTCCCATCAGCCCCTGAGATACAGACCCTGTGAAGGTCGGGTCCAGGTTCAAATCTACAGACGTTACTCTTTAATAAACCTGTAAGTGTTTTTGAAACGTATAGATGAACTCGTGTGTTCAGGAGCAGACTCGGTCCGTCTCCTCTGCAGCTTCTGTTTGAGAGACATCAGTCTCCGTCTCCGTCCTCCCTCCGTTTACTCACCCAGCCAGCCGGCGAAGTCTCTGAAGGTCACCAGGTTGTGGCGTTCCTGGTCCAGCAGGGTGAAGGTGCGGTTGGCCAGCGTGTCAGAGTGCTGGTTGGAGCCGCCGGGCCACGGCGCCAGCAGCCCGTACAGGCTCTTAAACTGGGGCCGGTCCAGCCGGTACTGCCGCTCAATGTAGGAGTGACCGGAGTCACCGTGACGCCACGCCGCAGCCTCCGCCGCCGCCGCAGAGCTGCTGTCGCCCCAGTACAGACTGATGAAGTGCTCCGTCTGGACATGTGAGGAAGAGGAGGAGAGGATGAAGAAGCTGAGACAGCTGATGGTTTAAATGATAAAGTGGAGGAGAAGAAGAAACCTTGAAGAGGTCGTAGACGTCGGCCAGGTCCTCTGGAGAGATGGAGACATCTGGAGTCACCAGCCTCAGCTGCAGACACACACAGAGGAAGGAGACGCAGGGAGGAGATGCAGGAGGAGACACAGGGAGGAGATGCAGGAGGAGAAACAGGGAGGAGATGCAGGGAGGAGACACAGGAGGGCAGGAGGAGACACAGGGAGGAGACACAGGAGGAGACACAGGGAGGAGACGCAGGAGGAGACGCAGGGAGACACAGGGAGGAGACACAGGGAGGAGACGCAGGAGGGCAGGAGGAGACACAGGAGGAGACACAGGGAGGAGACGCAGGAGGAGACGCAGGGAGACACAGGGAGGAGACACAGGAGGGCAGGAGGAGACACAGGAGGAGACACAGGAGGGCAGGAGGAGACGCAGGGAGGAGACGCAGGGAGGAGACGCAGGAGGAGACACAGGGAGGAGATGCAGGGAGACACAGGGAGGAGACGCAGGAGGAGACAGGGAGGAGACGCAGGAGGAGACGCAGGGAGACACAGGGAGGAGACACAGGGAGGAGACGCAGGAAGAGACACAGGGAGGAGATGCAGGAGGAGACGCAGGGAGGAGACACAGGAGGAGACGCAGGAGGAGACACAGGGAGGAGACAGAGAGAGAAGACAGAGGGAAGAGACACAGGAGGAGACAGAGAGAGGAGACGCAGGGAGGAGACACAGGAGGAGACAGAGGAAGGAGACGCAGGAGGAGACAGAGAGAGGAGACACAGGAGGAGACAGAGAGGAGACGTAGGGAGGAGACACAGGAGGAGACAGAGAGGAGACGTAGGGAGGAGACACAGGAGGAGACAGAGAGAGGAGACACAGGAGGAGACAGAGAGGAGACGTAGGGAGGAGACACAGGAGGAGACAGAGAGAGGAGACACAGGAGGAGACAGAGAGTGGAGACGTAGGGAGGAGACGCAGGAGGAGACAGAGAGAGGAGACAGAGGGAGGAGACAGAGGGAGGAGACGTGGGGAGGAGACACAGGAGGAGACGCAGGAGGAGACAGAGGAGGAGACGCAGGTCTGACATGACACTCAGCTCTCACAGTCGCCTTCCATTGTGTGTCAAAGTGTGTGTTCTGGGTGCTCACAGCGTTTTCTTTGGCCGTGTCCTCGTGAGCCTGCAGCACCTGGATTCTGTGTCGACAGCGAAGCCTCTCGATCTGCCTCACCGTCAGGTCTCCGAATTTCTGACGGCAGGAAACACAGATGGCACAGAGCTCGAGGAACCTGATGAATTACACTGTTCTGACTACATGAAACATACGCTGTGCGCTGACAGCTGTCTGAGCGCGTCTCACCTCGTACGACTCGTTGATGAGGTCGGTGATGTTCGTGTGTCGCACGGTGAAAACATCGGCGTCACTGCTGCTGCTGGTTTCCTCTGCAGCCGGCGGGGACGACGGAGGACTGGACGACTCTTCACTTCCTACCTGCTCCAGAAAACTGCCGAGCACAAGGTTCACAGGTTCTTCAGACTAGTCTCATCAAAAATATCCATGTGTCAGCAGCACATACTGATTCTGAGCATCACACACAGTCAAGTCATTATATCCAGAAAACATTTAAATGTACGTACCTGGTGAGGATCATGAGCGCCTGCCCGTCGTCCGTGCTTGCAGACAGCTGAGCAGCGTTGGCCTCCAGCACCGCCAAACCCAGCTGGAAGATGGCTTTGATTCCATGGAAGAAGAAACAGTCGACCACGCAGACGGCACTGTGGAAGGGCAGGACGCTGAGGAAGAGGGTGAGGAACCACGAGAGGGAGACGGAGGAGAGGGTGGAGAGGTCTGGAACGTGTTCGGCCAGCTCGGGGAGACGCTCCCTGATCAGCTCCTCAAACACCGACTGGTCCACCTGAGCTCCTGCAGGAGGAAGGACGGAGGAGGAGGAGGAAGGACAGAGGAGGAGGAGGAGGAGGAGGAGGAAGGACGGAGGAGGAGGAGGAGGAAGGACGGAGGAGGAGGAGGAAGGATGGAGGAGGAGGAGGAGGAGGAGGAGGAAGGATGGAGGAGGAAGGACGGAGGACGGAGGATGGAGGAAGGACGGAGGACGGAGGATGGAGGAGGAGGAGGAGGAGGAGGAGGAGGAGGATTGGGCCTTTATGTTAGTCCTTGTTAACATTTGTCCAAAAAGGAACGAACATCATAAAGAACAAAAACCAACAAGGCTTCAGAATCAAACAGAGACTGAACACGTGTGAGCTGAAGCTTCAGGACCAGTCTGAAGAGTTCTAGCAGCATCTAGTCGAGAAGATTAAAACCAGTTGAATCTGCAGGTCGGATTCCTTCAGTGTTCATGAAGGTTTTTACTGGAGCCAAATTATCCACAGAAGACTCGTCTTCTCCAGAACACACGGATCAGATGTCTCATTTATAAACGCTGTACGCACAGGGCGAGGCTGACTCATGACCATGCTGACCAACATTTTGGAGACGGGATAATTGGTGACGCAGACGGTGAGGTGGAGCCTGACTGTTTTATAAACAAGACTGATTCAAACCTGGGGCCTGTATCATGAAGCAGGATTAATGTCTTAGCGAGGTAACTTCAGGGTTAACTCTGGGTTTTCGGTCTCACGAAGCCGGTTCAGTTCTTATCGGGGTAGATCACCATGGTAACTTACTCTGAACGGCTATCCTGCTCCGGAGCAGGGTAAGTTCAGGGTTGAATCTGATCCTATAAAAAGCACCACCCACTGGCCAATCAGCTGTTGATGGCTGACAGAAATGCAGCCCAGTCATGACGGGAAGTTTAATTCATTTGATTGATTTTGATTTGAAAGTTTATTTTGAACATTAAAAAAGAAAAGAAAGCAACAACAACAGACAATGAAAAGATTGTTCAAAAAGGAGTGGAAAGAAGTGGAACTTTCATCCCACCCCTTCATAAGAAAGAAACTGATCATTTGCAGACACTTAATAGCACCATTAATTAGTGCCAACATTTTGTTTTGTTGGAGGAAATGATCCCTGTTAAAGATAATGGGCCTAATTGACAGCTTTGCTGCTGGAAATGTGGAAAGTAGCCTATCATGTCTACACTTCATGGTGTTTGAGGGATTTTCCTTTTTGTTTTTTAAAGAGGGACACTAGCTATATTTTTGTGCAGCTGTTAATTTCTAACACAGCTCAATATCAGGATGATTTTATTCAGACTATCAATTTGGTGTTGATATGATTTAATTGTGACGTCAGCTTTAAGCTTTATTGTAGCATATATAACGTTATGACAAAGAAGACCAATTTATCAGACGCAATGATGTTAGACGATAATTGTAATACACGCAGTTCATCTGCGCAGCATTGATTTCATGGGATTCAAGGGTGTGATCAGTGTCAGATGTACAGGTACAGGTACTGTAGCTACTTGAACCAGTGATGAGTCATTTAACCTACACATCATTTTATTTGCTGCCTTGTGTTGTCTTGATTTTTCCCTCTCTCCTCCTCTATTTCTTCTTTCCTCACCCGTTTCTTTTTCTTCTCTATCATGTGATTTCATTGATGTTTTGACAGGGGAATTTCTTTGATAAGCTTTTAGTGGCTTCTAACCTCTCCGGCACTTTTCTTTTTTTAATCTTGTAAATCTTATTTTTAACATTATTTGCAAATAAACTAATCTAAACTAAAGCTAAACATTATTCATCCCGTTATGTGTTGCCACGCATGTTTCCTCCTCCTGCAGCTGCCACGGTGTTGGCCTTTTCTCTAATGTTGCTTTACTCCTCCTCATATTTTAGTAGAATTAATCTCTGATCCTCACGAGAAATACTTTTTTCCCCTCACATACGGCGCTCTGTGAGGACACTCAGTGACGCTGCGCTTCTCTCATGATTGTGATTGGTCCGCTGCGTGCGCGTTCACGGCTCTTGATAAAGCAACTCTGGGTTGAGTTACCGAGTTGATATCCAGCGTCGTGATAACGATTATCCTGATTGCCATTGTTAGGGTTAGTCAACCCAGGATAGGTCTGGGTAACCCAGGAAAGGTTGATCTCGTGTCGTGATACAGGCCCCTGGTTATAAACTCCATGAGGCAGTTTCACGTTACAAACCAGTGACAATCCAACACACACATGTCACTGTCACATCTGTAACAGCTGCTAATGTACGCTCACTACACTCCCAGAAACAAACACAGCAGCTGATTTAAACCAGGAAACACTCTGAATGAAGATGTTTATAAAACATTTTAAGTATCTGTTTTCTGCAGCTGCTCGTCACAGAGCGGCTGCAGACTCTGGCCAACACAAAGATGCAAATGTCCCTATCTAGAGTCAGTGTTTGATGTGTCCGCTTGTACAGGTCACCTAGTTCTTCTTTCCACAAGGCATTTAGTGATGGGACAAAATCATAACTTTTCATGTTCCGCTGGTGAATGTTATCAGATGCCATTTATATGTACACAGGTATGGTATGGACTGAAATATTATTATCATGTTGATGCCAAAGTTGATATAAGGGGAAGTGATGCATGAAAAAAGGAGGACAATTGGAGGTGAGTGAGGAGTTTTCCCGTCACTAAGGATCAAATGGAATTCAGTGGATTATTTTTTGTTCCTTGTGGGATCACTTCCAAGACACAACTTTTGTGCCAAGCGGGACGAGTGGTGAGATTGCGTGGTTCTTTGTCTAATTTTGTGAACTGCGGCGCTTCATTACTCACCAACAAACTTCCCTTTAATATATATATTTTTCTTTTTTGCTGGCTTCTGGGACTTTGAGTGACTGGGGGATTATTCAGGTTATTTTTGTGAAGGTTGTGAATTGTCGATATCGAGGAAAAAGTGTTTGTTAACCTCTGAAGTGTTTGTTGAACCGGCGACCACGCTGTTATTGTTTGGGGTTATTTCTGTCCAGACGCAGACATGATTTAATTTATTGTCCTAAAGATTGATTATTAATTCAACTATATGTGACTCATTCGTTGTGTGTGTGTGTGTATATATATGTATATATATATATATATCTATATATATATATATAAAGAGTTTAAAACAAAAATCAATATATATGTCAATGATCAGCTCCTCAAACACCGACTGGTCCACCTGAGTGTGGTTTTGCTTATCAGTTAATTTTTGTTTTAAACTCTTTTTAAATGTCTCTTTATATTGAATAGTTTGTCTGTTTTAATGTGAAGCACTCAGAGCTTATGATGTCCTCACTGTGAAGAACTCTGTGCTGCCACCCACCCATCCATCCATCATCCATCCATCATCCATCCATCATCCATCCATCATCCATCCATCATCCATCCATCCACCCATCCATCCATCATCCATCCATCATCCATCCATCCACCCATCCATCCATCCATCCATCATCCATCCATCATCCATCCATCATCCATCCATCCA